ATAAAGGTTTCAAAAGCGGGTTTTCACAGTGATTCCACAGAAGAACCATTTTGGTTCCTCAAAGAACCTTTCAGTGATCAGTTATTAAAACAACATTTTTTTTTCTAAGTGTGAAGGACATTTTAATGATCTAAAGAACCTTCTTCCAGTATAAAGAACCTTTTTTGAATGGAAAGATTCCATGGATGCTAAAGGTTCTTCATGCAACCATCAATGCCAATAAAGAAACTTTATTTTATGAGTGAGGGAGGAACATGAGCATTAATGGTGCTTTTCCTTCTCTATCCATTTTAATTAAATTAAGTTTATGCACAGTTTACATTGTGACCCCAAAATGTATTTGGACACTTAAGTTACACTTCATGCCTGAGTATTGCTGCTTTAGAGAATACAAAATATTAGAGCAAGTGTCTGTAAAGGATCTTTTCACTTCGCTAACATTCACTTTTCTTCATTTTTTGCTCAATGTCTTTGAATAAGCTGGTGTTTTAGTGATTTTTAGTGGATGTTCAAAGGTGTATGAGCAGAATAGGTGGAGTTCATCACATTAATCATCAAACTAAAATAGTATTAAGTTTTAATATAGTTAAATTAGTCTAGTTTAATACAATTTTATAGTTTAAAAACATTATGTTTTGCCAAGTATACTATTTTATATTTAATTTGTATATATATGAATGGTCTCATATTGGCCAAAAATTGACAAATTAATTGGTATGGTATATTTTTTTTATTTAAAAAAACGAATTTAATATTAATAAAATTGAATAAAAAATCATTTTTAAAAAGTGCATAGTCCAATATTGGCCAGATTAATCTGACTGGTATGCTATTTTAAAGTATACATGTGCTTCTTTAAATTAAATGCCACTTTGTTTGATATGTTCTTATCTACTGCAATGGCATTCAGACATTTTCAATGAGACTTAGGTGTCTCAATACTTTTGGGACCACTATATTTGTCTACAAAAGCAATTTATCAACAAGCCGTTAGCTAAAAAGGTATTTGCAATCATTATACACATACAGTGTGAGGTGCGTCCAAACTTTTGACTCATAGTTAGTGGAACTACGAGAGAAATCATATTTAAAAACAACAACAACAGAATCGTCGCGTGGGATGAGAGCGCACTGCATCGACATCTTTAGCGTGGGGATCGTGGTGTCAAAAATGCCTATGACTTGTCAAATCAATATGTTGAGAGAGAGAGACAGAGGTCGATATGTTGTGGTGGCATCAGTCCCTGGAGCCCTCGAAGCAGATGTGTTTTGATACACGCAGGCACGCGACAAGCGTCAGCTCCCAAACGTCCACGCCTGTTTCCTTACGCTCGCACACACCCACAAACAGACGCACACGGGCGCAAATAAAAGAGGATCCCTGCGTAATTATTGAATGATTGCATCCCCTTTGGGAGGCCCCCGAGAGAAGCTCAATGAAGCCACGACCACCATGTCCATGGCAACGGCGCATGATAATGAGCCTCGTGGTCAGAGTCAGGGCGCGCGTGGATTGTTGGGGCAGCTGGTCAAAGTAATATGATCTGAAACAATGCTCGGACCACAGGTAGCCTGATGAACGCGCGTGTGCATACGCGCTTTCTCTGTCTTAGCAGAGCCATATAATAAATATGCGACTAAAACACTTATTTCTGATTCCAGGGTGCAAAGTCAAAAGGTTGGGGGCGTATTAGTGAAAGTACTTTTGCTAATTCTTTTTTTTTAATTTTTTTTATTACAAGTATTTGATCGCACACGTACATCAAGGAGACGTCTATTTGACGTCTGTATTTACATTTGCAAGATGTAGTGTTTAGAGTGTTTGCTCATCTATCTATAGGACGTTTCCAATCAGATGTCCAATAGACGTTTAGAAGATGTCTTTAAGATGTTTATGATTTAGAATGCATCAGATGTTTGTACTCAGCAGATGCTTTCCAGATGAAGAGATCTTTAACAGACATCTTGCAGACGTAAGTGCTATCTGGGATATGTTTCGAAGGGGTTTTATTAATGATAAACGTTTAAAACGAACGATTAGTCGCGTTTGCTTGAAGGGGTAACCATAATAACACGCGCGATCAGTTTCGCGGTACGTCAATAAAGTTTGACAAGAAGTAGGCTATATCACAAACTACCAGAGCTTTATTTACAGCGTTTGTGGTAACTGACGGTTAGTTAGCTGTGCAAGCAGCGTCACAGTTCGTTGCGCGACACATTGCGCTAAGAAAATTACCTTCAGTGCGCATTTCACAATTGAGATGTTTAAAATTCCCTTAAAAATAATCACCACCCTCCCCAAAAGTGGACACTGGATGCGCGCGCATCTTCTTCTCTCTCTCTCTCCCTGCTCTATCATCCATGTAACCTTCTTCAATCTAGCGCCACGTTTTTGTAAAACACACCGTGGCGTATCAAATCAGATTCTCCAACCCCTTCGCCGATCGATAGGTCGCAAACAACATTATAGCCCCTAATTGTGATCCCCACACGACTTCATATGATCGATCCCGTGTGATGCGAGCCCAGCTTAGGTTCCCACGGCCGCCCATGTGCTGTGTAACTCCGTTGGGACTGCAACACTTCTGGCTTCGCCTGCGCCATCTGGCCCCTGCCGGACCATACCGTTACAGGTTCTTTAACATGCTTCTAGTCCAATTTAGACGCAGGGCAGTGAGCACACACACACACACACACACACACGGGCTGAGGGAGGGAGGAGACAGGCGTTTAGACGGTGGCAGATGGTGTGTAAGGGTCTGGTCGCGTCTGAAGGCGTACCGTAGACCCCCTTCAGTGACTGTCCCCCGAGGGGCTTCACAATCAATGAAAAACGAAAGCGCAAAGAAAGGCAAGAACAAGAAGCGAGCGAGCCGGGCTACAGGCTCCAACACTTCATCTATAGACTTTCTTCACTGCTAGTTCATTCCACAGGGGAGAATCAGCGAGCAAAACAACCGGACCAAAGTTGTGGCTCAAGCACTCACTTTTGCCTTGTATACTGCAAAAATATAAAAGTTAAAAAAAAATCACATGAAAAATGAAAGAAAAGTAAAAGTAAAAACAATGCAAACATACTACAGTAAAACCTGTAAAATGGTTACCTTTAAGTTACAAAATATCACTAAATATATATGGAAATAAATACATTTGTAAATGTATTATATTGTGAAATGTGCATTAAAAGCAATTTTGACTTCTATACTTTAAAGAATAAGTAGTATAGAAGTATGAACTTACAATTAACTACTAAGAAAAAAATATTCAACACATTAAAATGACAAAAATAATATACAAAAATACAAAATCATAAATAAAAAGTACATGAATCACCTGTTTTTTTTATGAGGGAGAAACATGCAAAATCGCATTTGTTGAGCTTTATTTAAAAAGTTAGCTTCTTGTTATCTGCATTGGTGTGTTGTATATTGCATTATTGGTTGTTTAATCATGCATTATGGTTGTGTTGTGTGTTATACTGATGGCGTTTTTATGGGTCACACTTTGTATGCTACTGATAGTTGCTGGTGAGGCCAATTTGATCAACTTTAATTCATCATGTGACCTTCTATGTACCCCCCTGTGTTGTCATCAGAAAGTTTTACAGTTATGAATGAATGCAAAAAAAGTAAATATATAAGATTGGCTTGGTATTTTAACATTATATCTTTAATGGCTCATGCAATTAGTAAAATATGCAGTATACATTCATTTGTAACATACAAATATTACGTTTGTAACATTATTACACATTTTTTTACAGTAAAAATTCACAGCCAGTTTTTTTTTTTATAATAAAATTGAACAGTGTAGAAACACAGAAACCTTATCTAGCACTAAAAATATAGGCTATATGTGATGGGGGGAAAAGAAGCAGAAGTGCTAAACTCACACAGGGAGTAAATACAGAAAAAGAGGAATGCCAACTTTTCCAGCTCATTCCCAATGTCCCACCCTTGCCCCCTGCGACCAGCAACGTTTCACTAAGAATCCATTTTTTCCACTCTATGATGTCAGAAAATTTGGCTGCCTCCATACAAATGATGCGTATTCTTTTGTGAGTTTGCCTGACGCGCACACAGTAGCCCGAGGAATGTTTTTAGACACAAATCAGGACTCAGGAGACTCCCTGAAGCAGGAAAGGCAAAGGGAAGTAGACATTTGTTGAAAACTTTTTGAGGATTTTATTCCTCAAATGTGCTGGAAGTGAACTTTTAGATTAGTTTAAATATGCCAAATACGCACGCGTTTTATAACTCCCTGAGCGAATAAACGAACACAAAAGAACACAAAACTATCAGGTATTTTTGTGTCGCATCGTACATATATTCTAATGCAAATAATATATCTATAATAAATAATCTAACGTCTAAAACTTCAAGTTGTAAATTACCGTCACTTTTACGCACACACAGCAGCGCTGATGTGTTTAGGAGAGGTTGGTTGGTAGGGGCTGGGTGCAAGGGAGCCGCATTGTAAAGCGTGGGACAGATTGGGGGTAGTGGTTCATTAGCATATTATTACCCCGGCATGTGCCACCCCGTATAAAACTGGCGGCAGGCGGCCTCGCTCCAGATACAAACGCACAGTGTCCGCGGGAGAAGGACGTGAGGAGGGATGTTGGACCAGTGACAAACCCTGGTTTATAATCAGACCAAGAAGGAACTAAAAGAATACACACGAGCATATTTTCAACTTTTCTTCTCCGACTTTTGAGGATTATATCACTCCGACGGAATTCAACAAGTCCTTAATCTGGGACTTTTCAGTTTGTTTGGACACACTTTTTCGGGGAAGAACTGGGGATTCTGTTGCTTTGTGCGCACTTGACATGAAAGGGAACTGCGTTCACGCTCAGTCTCTTTTGAAAGCAAGCCTCTTCCAATGAATCAGTCGGCGAAAAGAAAAGGCTTTTAATACGAGGGATCCCCTGACTGATCTGGGAGCAGCCAAGTTGCTCAAAGACTTTCAAAAACCTATTTATTTATTATTTATTCATCATGGGACGCTACTTACTGTTGCTCTTCTCCATCCTGTACATGCTGCTCTGCCAGGTAAGACTGACTTCTCACTCTTGTCTGAATCTAAAGCAATGTGTTTACTGCTATCACATTTAGATCTAATTTTCGAACGTTGATTCTTCTCCAGGCGTCTTCCTCAGGCGTCTTCGAGCTGAAGTTGCAGGAGTTTTTGAACAAGAAGGGTGTGCAAGGCAACAAGAACTGCTGCAAAGGTGGACATCCTGTACATGCTGCTCTGCCAGGTAAGACTGACTTCTCACTCTTGTCTGAATCTAAAGCAATGTGTTTACTGCTATCACATTTAGATCTAATATTCAAACGTTGATTCTTCTCCAGGCGTCTTCCTCGGGCGTCTTCGAGCTGAAGTTGCAGGAGTTTTTGAACAAGAAGGGTGTGCAAGGCAACAAGAACTGCTGCAAAGGTGGACTAACCACACCTTACCAGCAGTGCGAGTGCAAGACTTTTTTCCGCATCTGCTTAAAACATTATCAGCCCAATGCATCTCCAGAGCCGCCCTGCACCTACGGAGGCACCGTCACCCCCGTGCTGGGCTCCAACTCTTTCCAAGTGCCAGATACCTTACCTGATGGCTCTTTCACCAATCCCATCAGGATGAATTTCGGTTTCACGTGGCCGGTGAGTACTGGTGCATTGACTTTGACTTTGAGAAGTCATTCAGAAGTAATGCTCAGCGCATTTTCTGATGGACGAATCTGTTTTTTGCTATTGCAGGGAACCTTTTCTCTTATCATCGAAGCAGTGCATGCTGATTCCAAAGAGGATCTGACAACAGGTATGTGGTCTCATAACAGAAAAAGAACGTTAATATTAATATTTTTGAACACCATGACTGAAAATCTTTTTCTATGCAGAAAACCCAGAGCGCATCATCAGTACCATGACCACACAGCGGCACTTGACTGTGGGCGAAGACTGGTCTCAGGACCTGCACAGCGTAGGTCGAACCGAGCTCAAGTACTCCTACCGCTTTGTGTGTGATGAGCACTACTACGGCGAGGGATGCTCTGTGTTCTGCCGGCCTAGAGATGATGCATTCGGTCATTTCACCTGCGGAGAACGTGGCGAAATCATCTGCGATGCCGGGTGGAAGGGCCAGTACTGCACAGAACGTGAGTAAAAATATTGTGTATTAATATAGTAAACATTGCATAAAATCCCATCACATTCTGTAAATGTAATGGTGTTTGTTTGAAAAAGTAAACCCAGATTTGAAAACACTGCATGCAATTTATTTAGAAAAGAGAGGGAGAAAAAGCAAGGGGAAAAACAACAAAGTTAACGGTTACGAACAACTTGTAACTAAAACCCCCGCCCCCCCACACTCACACTCCCCCTTCCAACCCACTTTCACAACACACCACTTGATTTATTCCAGTCGGGAGGAGGAAAGTTTTTAGGAATAATCTCACGCGTGCCATAAATTTACATGCTGGCGTCCTATTGGTTGCTCCCAGAGTGGGCTGGCTGCTGATTGGCTGGTGTAAGGGAGGTATTGTTTGAAGTGGGCAGCTGCCGGGAGTGCGCAGACAATGGAGCAGCTGTCGCCCGCTGGCTGCGCATACACCAGCTGTCCACTCTTATCTTCCCTACCCGGAGACATTGAGAGCACAGGAGGGAGAAAAAAAGTTTTGACCCACAGTGAAGAGAGGGAGGAAAGAAGGGTCCCCTTGTTTGTGAGCACCCTATTGTTGTCATGTGTTAAGAAGAAATTCTTCAGTGGTGATTAGGAGATTTGAGCATTTTTTAGCAAGAGAGAACGCCAATAGGTTTAAGTGACCCCACCTCCCTCTTCATCTGACATAAAATGTCCTAGTTAGGATTTATGGAAAACAAAGTTAAAATAAGAAAATGTGCCTCCATGATCCTAATGAAGGTGTTTTGTCCTCCTTACAGCAATTTGCCTCCCGGGATGCGACGAGGAGCATGGCTTCTGTGAGAAACCTGGAGAGTGCAAGTATGTTTATTTCATTGTTTATGTCATTAGCTATTGAAATCACCTCAAGGATCGATTTTCTAATTGGTCGATTTGTTTATTTTGTGCATCAGGTGCAGAGTAGGCTTTAAAGGCCGCTACTGTGATGAGTGCATACGTTACCCAGGATGCCTTCATGGAACCTGCCAGCAACCATGGCAATGCAACTGCCAGGAAGGCTGGGGTGGCCTCTTCTGCAACCAAGGTAAGAAAGCGAGCAGAGCGAAAGAGACACAAAAGATCAAAGAAAAGCATTTAGAATGGCCTTGAAAGACTAAGTGACACAAGGATGTTTGGTAAAGAGAAGAGACGCTGGCTGAAAGAGAGATATGAAATAGACATTCAAGCTACACAAGAGTGAGCAGCAGCTGTCCAGCTGCAGTCCAGCCATGTGTCGCTGCTTTGGGTCGGATTAATCCACAAGTGCTCAACATATGTCCGCCTCTGTTACAGATCTGAACTACTGCACACATCATAAGCCCTGCCTGAATGGAGCCACTTGTAGTAACACCGGTCAGGGCAGCTACACCTGTTCCTGTCGGCCAGGATTCACGGGAGCCAGCTGTGAGATCAAGGTCAATGAATGCACAGGAAACCCCTGCCGCAATGGAGGAAGCTGCACTGTGAGTGTAAATGTTTGCCAACATGTAAATTAGACTTGTCCACTATGTACAAACCAATGCTTTTGCATTAAAGCACTCGTTCTTGTTCTTTTGCTAAGCATCCCGTTCCTTTTGCGTTTACAGGACATGGAGAACACCTACAGCTGTACCTGTCCACCTGGCTTCTATGGCAACAACTGCGAGCTTAGTGGCATGACGTGTGCAGATGGGCCGTGCTTTAACGGTGGACGCTGTGCAGACAACCCCGACAGTGGTTACTTCTGCCAGTGTCCCACAGGATACGCAGGGTTCAACTGCGAGAAGAAGATCGACCATTGCTCCTCCAGTCCATGCTCTAATGGTATGATGCACTTTTGGATTTGCACTTCATGAATCTTTGTGATCAAAAGTGCTCCAGAATCTCATTCTCTTCCCTTTTTGATCCTCAGGTGCACGCTGCGTCGACCTGGTGAACTCATACCTGTGCCAGTGTCCCGAAGGGTTCACGGGTATGAACTGCGATCGTGCCGGGGACGAGTGCTCACTGTATCCTTGCCAAAATGGCGGGACTTGTCAGGAAGGGGCCAGCGGTTACATCTGCACGTGCCCACCTGGATACACCGGACGAAACTGCAGCTCACCTGTGAGCCGCTGCCAACACAACCCCTGCCATAATGGCGCCACCTGCCACGAGAGGAACAACCGCTACGTGTGCGCTTGCGTTCCGGGATACGGAGGACGCAACTGCCAGTTCTTGCTTCCGGACAGAGCGTCCCAAATTGGCAGCGACGTTCCCTGGACTGCCGTGGGATCGGGAGTCCTGCTGGTGCTGTTGTTGGTAGTCGCATGCGCCGTGGTGGTGGTTTGCGTTCGCTCAAAGGTTCAGCAGCGCCGACGGGATAGGGAGGAGGAGGTCGCCAACGGGGAAAACGAAACGATCAACAACCTCACGAACAACTGTCACCGTGACAAAGACCTGGCCGTAAGTGTCATCGGGGCAGCACCTTTAAAGAACATCAACAAGAAGATTGATTTTCACAGTGATCACGACGACTTGAGCATGACAACCGAGAAGGAGAAGAGGAGCTATAAGACACGACATGCTCCTGCAGACTACAACCTGGTGCATGAAGTAAAATACGAGGTGAAGCATGAGGTGAAACTGGAGCATGCTGGAAAGGAGATGGCGGCAAAGGAGTTGTCCGATAGCTGCGATGATTTAAAGTGCCAATCTCTGCAGGATTCTTCCGAATTTGAGGAAAAGCGCAGGAAACGTCTGAAAAGGTAAAAAATTGTGTTCGAGTATTCTTGTCCAAGATAATTTCTTTGAATATTCACTCAATGTCCTCTCAAATTTAGGCATCGCTAACACGCTACTCTCTTTTTTCTTTACAGTGATGCATCAGAAAAGTCAAAATATTCAGAGTCAAGGTATTCTGAATCAAAGTATTCTGAATCAAAGTACTCAGAATCAAAGTATTCAGAATCAAAGTATTCCGATTCGCTGTATTCCGAGTCAGCATGTGCGTCGGCATATGCCTCGGCATCCACGTCGGCTTGTGTCGACACCAAATACAAATCCGTCATGGTGATGTCGGAGGAAAAAGATGAATGTGTAATTGCAACTGAGGTGAGTGTCACATGTAGTTGACTTCACATTATGCAAAGAAAGTATGTCCATTTAGCATTCTTACCTTGATTCTGAGAACTAACAGACGTTTTGTTGTCTTTTCCCTTTTCCCATCTCAGGTGTAATGGGCCTGCAGGAAGCCGATGCTCATTGTGTCCTATGGGAGACATTTTGAACTCCCTAAGAAAATGCTGCTGCTCGAAACCTTGGGTGGAAATGTCCCACCTCATGACTACTGCTGCTGAGAAACTAAGACTGATTAACTGATATTCAGGATGAGCTGGTTCTCTGTACTGAAAGAGGCACAGGCAGTGGTGGCCTGTAGGCTTGGAAGCTTGTGGAAATGATAATGATGGCAGGAGTGTCATTAAAATATCAAATGCAGTTGTAAAATTTACCTGTAAAGCCATTTTTAAGGTGTTGGACAATATGTGTCCATTTTTAAATGTTTTTAACGTGGGTTCATCACACGAAAATGGCATTAGGAAAGAAGTAACAGAAAGAGAATACAAGAAAAGAAAAGTAAAGTATCGCAGTGTTTTGCCATGTGATGTCCAATAATGTGTCAGCATTGTGGCAACGTTTTAGCAATATTTTGGCAACATTTGCTGGTTTTCCGCCAATACTTCCCACAGGCTTTTACTGTGCCCAGAGACTGCACCAAACATTAAGGATGTTAAGGACGTAGTTTAAAATAAATGTGTCACAAATTGTTTTGCCATTGACTGTCTCTGTGACACCGTGGTGAAGTTGTGGTAACATTTTAGCAATATTTTGGCAACATTTGCTGGCCCCACAAGTCAGTGTACAAGGGACTACATCAAAACGGTGGATGTTCAGCCATACTGGCCTGTCTTGCACTGGGTTAAAATGTCACATGATGTCATATCCTGTCACATGACCAGTGGAATCTATGTGTAAGTGCTCAAAAAAAATCTCAAAGTCTTCCAAGCCTCCGCTTTTTTGCATTATGGTTTAGAAAATGTATGTAATTTGTTTTTCGACGTAAAAAAAAATTATGTTTTGTGTTGTTGATGATGAATAATATCCTTGTTTGTATGTTTTTTATTTTCTTTTTTATAACAAGAGTTGTATGATTTAAGTTAATTTATTTTTATTTAAGTTGTATTTCTAAATATTTGTAATGTTTTTAAGATTATTTAAGTTTGCGTTTTTCCTAAGTTGTTCCTGTTACTTGCAAAGGCACTTCGGGTTGCTGGGATGTTTTGAGAAAAAGTTATTTAAAGAAGGATTGTAAAAATGTTATTAATGCTATTGTTTTCATTAACAGGCTTTTGTTTGATTTTCTTTCTCTGAATGAAGTTTTAGCTTAAATTATTTTTCCAAATAAAGATTATGAACTATCGAAAGTATTTCATTGTTTTATTAACTCCACACTTCTGTTTCACATACACTGGGCTTAAATGTTAAAACAGAGCATCTTTACATTCATATTTGAATGCTGACACAATTCTTACAGCATTTTCAACCTAAAGAAAAGACAAACTTATAAACCACTCAAACCACCAAAAACAAACTGCAAAATCTTTAAAGTGTTGTGAGACGCTGCTAAATTGGAGCCTCTTTTCTTGTAAGCCTCTTTTGTGGTGGTTCACGTTTTCTTTTCTCTGTGCTGGATTTATGACTTATATGTGTGCCACTCTGTAAGGGTTGGAAATGGTTCTTTAGAAAATGGGGAATAGATTGGGATGCGGGTTCTTTATAGGGATGAGAACGAAGCTAATCATTAACATCTGCTCTTGCCTCTCGGTCACCCCATACTGGGCTATTCATGGCTCTGGGATGTTTTGAGAAAAAGTTATTTAAAGAAGGATTGTAAAAATGTTATTAATGCTATTGTTTTCATTAACAGGCTTTTGTTTGATTTTCTTTCTCTGAATGAAGTTTTAGCTTAAATTATTTTTCCAAATAAAGATTATGAACTATCGAAAGTATTTCATTGTTTTATTAACTCCACACTTCTGTTTCACATACACTGGGCTTAAATGTTAAAACAGAGCATCTTTACATTCATATTTGAATGCTGACACAATTCTTACAGCATTTTCAGCCTAAAGAAAAGATAAACTTATAAACCGCATAAACTACCAAAAACAAACTGCAAAACCTTTATAGTGTTGTGAGACTCTGCTAAATTGTAGCCCTTTTTTTCTAATAAGCCTCTTTTGTTTCAGTTCGCATTTTCTATCAAGTCTTTTCTGGGTGCTGGATTTATGACTTCTATGTGCGCCACTCTGTAAGGGTTGGAAATGGTTCTTTAGAAAATGGGGAATAGATTGGGATGCAGGTTCTTTATAGGGATGAGAACGAAGCTAATCATTAACATCTGCTCTTGCCTCTCGGTCACCCCATACTGGGCTATTCATGGCTTTACCCCACATTCTGCCTGTTGCGGGTGCATCGCTCAAGAGAAGGGCCTTTGAGAAATGCCGTCAAATAGCTGCAGGATGTTTACAAGTTATCCAACCAGACTAGAGAGAGAAATGTAAGGCTTTGGGAAGGGGAAAAACTGAAGTAGTTGGCACATTTCCCAACTGGATGAAACTACTTGGCAGGTGTTTTGGCAGGAAAGCCTTGCTTGATTTCAAACACACATCACCAAAACTACAACCAAAACCAAGAAAAAAATAAACGTTTTTTTAATGATGTTCTCTTGCGCTTTCTATTAAGAAAAAGTTTGTACGAGATTTTGTATCCTAACACTGATGCAGCTAGAGAACAAAATGTCTTTTGTTGAGCTTTTATGGCTAAACATTAAGCTTGAGGAGAAGTTTGGAAGAGTTCTGGCTGAGGTCTCTTACAACACTCATCAATGGAGCTCTGGGGAACAGGCAGAGTCACACAATGTAGCGGCGGACAATAGCCGATACAGAAGGGCACCATTTGGGAGAGGCAGTGTGTGCCTGTGAATGGAGGGAAGGGAGGGGGCAAAGAACGACAGATGTTGTCTGTCCTCCTGAGTCAAAGCGTCCTGCAGGCAGAAAACACCAGCTAGACCCCACATGGCCATGGAGGAGAGACACAATGGAGACCCTTCAGCTCACGTCTCTTGGTCTTCTCTGATATGTCGCAACGTAACTTTAAACTACTTCACATTGTGCTCCAGTAAAGTACTTCACTTGATTTAGATATTCATCCTGAGATCAAACATTAAACGCTTTATTTAGGACAGTTTTACACTTTCTTTTCACCAAGAGCAGCCTCACTATTATTACTACTCATAGTTAAAGTTATGGAGTTTTCAATACCCTTAACACTTAGCAGCCTCAAAGTAACCTCGCACAACACCCTAGTAACCACATAGTCATGTGCTAACCTTAGCAACCTCATTGCAACATCCTGGCAACCACATAGCAACACTCTAGCAACCACTTAGAACACCTTCATAGCAACTGCCTGACAACCACTCAGAACACCCTATAGCAACCTCATAGCAACAGCCTGGCAATCACTCAGAACACCTTAGCAACTTCACAGCATTGCCCTGGGAACCACTCAGAACACTCTAGTAACATCATAGCAACCCCCTGGCAACCACTCAGAACACCCTAGCAACCCTTATAGCAACACCCTGGCAACTACTTAGAACATCTTCATAGCAACACCCTGGCAATCACTCAGAACACCCTAGCAGCCTCATAGCAACACCCTGAAAACCACTCAGAACACTCTAGCAAAGTCATAGCAACGCCCTGGCAACCACCCAAAACATTTCAGCATCAAGGTGGTGTGTTTCGCACAGGCAAACACCACATATATTTACTTTAGAAAATGTGCAAACAAATGAAACAATTGAATGTTTGGTTCCTAAAGAGTAAATATGGGTGTGGCCTTTTATATTAAAATTATAGTGCAATCGTAATATTGCTTTTTGTCAGAAGGCCTTTGCCAAGTGCAACCCAAGAAGATTAAAGTGTTCTGCACTTCAATTAGCACTAGAGCTTGAGATGCCAACAGTGTGACTTCATGGAAAAAAAAGAGGAATAAGAGGTTTGCTCTGTGATCCCGTTGCATTTTAATGAGCCGATCATGTAGAGTCCTCAGGGAACAGACCGTAACACTATATTCCGGCACAACATGGATGCTAAAATACGAAACAGCAGCGTACTCGAATCGCAAAGTCATCAGTCACGTCCAACTGAGCTGCGAGAGCATGGCTCATGTCCACCGACGCTGGATATGCGCCTTAACCAGCAGGTGAAGGACCAGAGCGTTGGAAAACTGACTGGGGAAGAACCAGAGGCAGAGCTGGAAATAACTGAAGAACACAGAGGAGAAGAACATGTGAACTGGGAACAGGAGCACAAGGAAGAGGACTCGGGTGCAACAGGGACAGACCAGGTGTGATGAAATAGTCATGAGGAGAGGCAGAGTCTAGCTTAAGTTACACCTGCCGCTCCTAAAGTAATGAAGGAAAGAGCCAGAGGAGGAACGCCACAGAGATGGGAAGACGCTGGCAAGGGCATTAGCGAAGTCTTGGGAGTGTTGAGAAGGTTTGTGGAGTGTTTTATTTGTGGACTTCTGCTTTTGGATTGACTTATGTGCTATTATGTTTCATCATTGCTGGTTACTTTTGTCTTACGTTAAAAGGTGCATGTCTTGCTAACCTTGCATGTCTCATGCCTCAAACATATATGTAGATGTTAAATTGAGTTACTGTAAAATGTAACATTACTTGATTAGTAGCTTGAGCTCTGGCATAAAAACCATCTAACCTTTAAGCCTCAAGGAACTTGTTTAACCCATGAGCTACATTAAAATATCCTGTTTCTGGTACAGATCCTGCTAAGATTGCACTTATCGCTGTATTTAGGAGTTAAAAGTCTCTACCTTCACCTCAGAGATGTAAATTATTCAAGAGTGCTTGGATTCCATCACAATCTGGCAATCAGGGAAATTAAGGTGGTGCGTCCTGAACAAGCAGCCGCTGTGATATCAGTTTGTTCTGCGCTACTTCGTCTCTTGACATGACCGTGTGCATCAATCTGGTGTGTATTGTCAATCTGAAGGGCCGTCAGAGTAAACAGATGATCTACAATAAAACGAAAATCAGATAATTAAAAAATGCATTTTGTTGTTTACATGCAAATTAATAAATGGACAATGCAATAAAGTGTCTGTCTATACAACAAAATTTCAACAGTGCACAGAAACACACACACACACACACACACAAAAAAGAATCGGACTAATGGGCAAAAATCGGTTTTGCTTAAACCAGAGGTGCCCAAACTATTATTATAGATAACTAAAACTGAAACCATAAAAACATTGTTACTAAAATAACATTTTATAACATAAATTACTTACAATTTAATTTCACCTAGCAACATTTCTCATTTTTTAGTTCAACTTAGTGTACTAATAAATAAAACTAAAATTAAAATAAATTTATTCAATTTTGAATAAAACAACAAAAGATATAGACAAAAAAAAGTTAAGTTAAAAGTTAATGTTGCATTATTTCCAACTATTTTATATAAAAATGTAAACTTTTAAAAATATAATTCATTTATATTCTCTACATTTCAATTAGAAAATAAAACAAACAATATGTTAAAAAAATGAATTAGAAATTAAGTTACAAATTAATTTCAAAGAGAAACAGAAATTAAAACAAAGAGTGTTGCGCCATCTGCTTTAATCTACTACTAATCGACTTCTCTGCAAACCAGGAACAAGTAGCACAGTGTCAATTTTTATAAAATTGTTGAGAAATTTAGGCAAATAGATAATTATCTACCAGTAAGAGCACTGTATACATATTGAATTGAGTTGCGAGATGCATAATTCCACAGATAACACAAAAAAAGTTCCATGTGGGCTAACTTATAAAGAAAGCAAAATGTAAAAAAAAAAATTGTCAGCAGAATAAATCTGATAATCTTTTATGTGCAGACACAAGCAACAGCTCTAGACCAAAGCGTGACCTCTGAGAGTTGACCTGAAGAACTCAACTGCAATCTAAAGGAACAATTATTACTGAACTAAGAGACCGAAAGCATGACTCGATTGGAACCTGCTCTCCAGCGCTCAGAAAGTCGCTCTGTGATAGAAATGCAGAGCAGGAGAGGGAGCGCCAACACAAGCAGAAGAGGAAGTGTCAGCCAACACACAGGTGAGATTTAACCCCGTAAAGCCTTACATATGGAATAATAGTCAGAAAAAAACTTTTTTTTTAAGTAGAAGAAGAAGGGAAAAAAAGGGCCAAACTGGGCAAAAATATATAATTTGGTTCAGTAACTGATATTTATTTGGCTAAAAAGCTTGTAATGTAAATCAATGAGATCTTTATAATAGTAAACAGACTACTTACATAAAAAGCATTTAAATATCAGTTGTCACTATATATTTCCAAATAATAAGTCTTAGTAAGATGTAATTGTAGTTTCAAAACTTATAATGCAATGCAATACAATGATGACTGAGAGATGAACAAATAAAAGTTCCTCAAAAGCCTGATGGCTCATATTTGAAACTCACATTTTAACATGTTTTTTTCTTAAAAATGATGTGTGGATAATCAAGTAAACCAAAGCTGCTTCAGTCCAGTAAATGTTCATCTTGAAACATTAACAACATAATAACAATAATTCTTGCATTTACTTTTATATTTACAATTTGAATAAAAGGCCTTGCTAAAAAAAAACTGTAAAGACATAAGACATGTAGTAGATTGTGTACAACAGGGCTTGATAATTAGAAATGTGCATATTAATTATGATACAGTAGGCTTTATACTGTAGGACTGCAGAAGTGAGTGTATATTAGTATATTTTGTCCTGTGTATTCAATAATCAATGAACAATACTTTATAATGTTAATTATTTAACCATTTAATTATTCATTTATTTTAATCATTTGAATGCATCAGCACAATATCAATGCATGTCTTCCTCAAACAGAGACTAGAAGAGAAGTGGAACAAAGCAGCAGCAGCCGCGCCGATTTTAAAAGAGCCAATCGCTTCCTCTCACGGGACAGGGAACAGGAAGATGGCAGTCCTCCTGCTCCCATGCGCCACTTCGAGAGAGGCCACCCTCTTCCAGTCACCCACAGTCCTGAGCGCAAAGCCACCATCCCCTTCCGAAACCCAGACCTGGGTCTCCCGTCCAATAGGAGGCGCTCCAACAATCTCAGCAACGAGGCAATGAGTGGCCTCTCCCCCCAGCGACACATGTCCTATTCAAATTTCAGACGTGGGGACAGCCAATCTCGTGCAAGCCCTCGCTCCGGCAGTCCGAGATCTACCAATGTTTCGCCGCAAAGGCGAGGGGAATCGCGCAGTTCGTCCCATCGCCGAGGTTCCGCCGTGCACAGTCACCGGACGTCCCACACGTCCTCTCAGCAGGCTTCTGGGAAATGCACTCCATCACGAAGACGAGATTCAGTGGTCACGCGCACCACGTGTCCCTCACAAAGCTCGGGTCCGAATAAAAATGGGGAATCCTTTAGCCCCGCCCACAAAAGAAGCCCTTCCCAGAGCTCCTACGGGCACAGCTTGGATTCTGAAAAGCTGTATAAGAATCTCAAATCAATTGCAAGTTCGGCAGAGTCAGACGCCTCTGAAGAAAGGAACGGCTGGTCAAAAAGACATTCTGATGTGGAAATCAACGGCGATTATAATGAACACAACCACAGTGGTCGCAATAGCGGTCGCAGCAGTCAAAAGAGTGGGGGCCGCAATACTGGCTACAACAGTCGGGATTTCTCTCCAACAGGAGGCTACTGTGATGACAAAACAAGCCGCGTCAGTCGAAACAGTGGTTACAACAGCCCTGGTGCCTCAACACCTTATCAAAATTATGATAAACATGGTACACTAAAATACGGTACTTTGAAAAACAAAAGCCGCAGGAATGGCGGCTACTCAGACAAACAATACAGATCTGATTCCCGCCAATCTCTAAGCCCCACCCATTCCCCTCTAAGCCCCGCCTCACCTGCATCAACGCCAAACATCTCTCAATCAAGGCGGAGCTGGAATCAGGTTCCGTCCCCTGATTTGCCCAAATACCATGCCTTAACTGCAGAGACGGATAAGCCGGTCAATGATCGGAGCAGAAGCAGCATCAGGCGGGGCTTGGAGGCGCTAATTCTTTCAGAGAACACCAGGTCTTCCAGTCAACCAGCAGTGCCAGAGATGACCATTGAGGATTATGTGATCATAGCTGATATTCCCCGATCTAAGCTGTACCCTGAGGAAGAAGAAGCAATAATAGTCAGAAGGAGGCCGCAGAGCCGGAGCCCACGCAGAGACAATCAGCACAGGTCAGAGATTTGAAGAGAGATGGAGAGTGGTACCACGTTTGCACTGACACGGTGCTGGTGCTGATGCAAAAGCAGATGCCTAATCTGAGCATTTCCACAGAAAAAATAGTGGCTCACGGAAAGTGATGGACATCCCAAGACAAGTTACTACAATCCCTTTATTTCCAGCTTCCATCTTAATTATAATTAAATAACTTGTGTCCATTACATCAGTGTTAGCAGAAGTTTGGCAAACCAAATTACTGGATGTTAAAATAAGGTCTAAAACTAAGCTTAAAATGTAAATAAACAAGTAAAGTACAATATCAGGGGTTTTCAAACTTTTTGATGGATCATCAGATATGAAGATTCCCAGAGGATGGACTATTTTCCTAAAAGCTGTATGAGAAAAAAAAAAAATTACTATTAAAACAGTTTATTTAGTTAGTTTTATTTTCGTTCGTTTTTTTATTTATGTTTAATTGTTTTTATTGTATTATTACTAAGTGTTAAAAACTAGTGCTGTCAATAGGAAAAAAAATAGTGACTAATCTCATTGTTTAAATTCAGTAAATAAGATAGAACTACTTGTATTCAACATATACTGTATATGTTTCCGACACACGCTGTACGCGGTAGACCAATCACAACAGCCTCACGCAAAGGAGGAGTTTAAAAAAACTGAATTCTTTCGCCTTTTTTCTTTGCGTGAACATTTGGGCGGCATTATGCTACTATTTCCACATAGTGAGGTAGATATGTGGGGGCGTGGCAGAGTCTTAACTTTGATAAAGAATATCTCTTTGGTTTTGAGACTTTAGTCTTTGCAACTTCAGGGATCTTATCTATGCACAATCAGCTTGTAACACTCCAAAGAGAAAGGAAAACTTGAAATCACAGGTAAAGCCACCTAACGTTACACTCACTCACGACTGCTTTCGGTTTCAGAGGCAGGTGTCTGTGTCCGCAGAACGGATGAAAAGGCACTTTTGAGCTCCCAGACAGAAAGTACACTATATTTAGCGCTAGGTATGGGTGTTATAGTGAAGCGTAAAGTATGCTGAGAGAAGCTGTACAGTTCAGGACTGTCAGTGTTGATGTGTCAAACCGCGAGCTGCTTCACGGAAGCTTCAGGTCACATGACCAACTGTTAGAGATGCTTGCCTAGTCACGCAGGGATATTTTAACGTTTTTGTACTTGTATTTATTTTAAAAGCAATATTTAAGTGCGGACACTGCTTAAATGAGCGCGAATTTGTGTTTGTTTAATTCACGACACAATTGACACACAGTTCTGTGACACTATGTAGGCCTACTAGCGAGAATTGAGCAACTAAAACAGTTTCTTTCCTCTTTCATGCCTACAACCGGATACCCATGTCGGTAAGTCGTTGAAATGTGTGTGTTTGTTGAAATACTTGAGTGAATGATTCGTTCTGGAGTTCTGGAATGTCTCGCGCTCTGGATTACTGTGCTCTGGAATGTCGTATTGTTGCTCTGGAAAGATTTGTACTGTATGTGTTCAGTTGATTATATATTGAATTCCTTATACATTCACTTGTTTTAACGCAACTGATTCTGTTTCCTGTAAGCTTGATCTTCTGAACTGTAAAAAGGGATGGATGTATATGCTGGATGAAGATGAAGAGGTAAGGATACAGGCTGCTTCTGTTAAACTTGATCTGTTGCATGCGTTTTTATACAGTCTATGGTTGCATGACATTGCATGACTGTCTGTGGCTGTTATAGGGAAATTGGCATAGCATGTCTTACTATACTTAATTTTAATGCCGATTGTCCCCTAAGTTTTATTTTATTTACATGAGATTAAAAAGCACAAAGGTGAAAATTTGGTAATAGTGACCAATGATTCTTTTTTTTATTTTACCTAAAACCTTGATGTTGAAAAAAGTTCAAAGAGCTAGAAAATTGTATGCAAAGATATGTAAGGTTTTCATTATCATGTAATATTAATCTGTTGCTTTGTTTATGGTCATGCATATAGATATAGACAACTATGAAGTACTTGTGTTTATTTGCAGTGGAGTAAGCACTGGTTTGTGATCTCTGACTCAGCACTGAGATACTATAGAGACTCTGAGGCTGAAGAGGTGAGCGAGAATAACTGAAATTGCCATGCAAATGATTATCTACGGATTGTACAGATAGGTCACGAGGAAATCATGGAATACATTTAAACGTGGAGCTGAAAATACCATAGTTGTAATAGTATCTGAACGCATGATCAGATTTAACGATGATATCTTGAATTCTGTGTTTTTCTCCTTGATAGAGAGATGAGGCGGATGGTGAGATTTATTTACGTCACTGTCTGCGAGTGGAGGAATTTGATGCTGATAAAAACTATGGACTTCAATTGCATGTAAGAACTTGTCACAAAAGTTAAGAGGACAACTCATCACAAAAAATTAAGAACAGTCCTGATGTGGTCATATGTCTGATTGATCTGCAGATGCGTGATGGACTGGTGACCCTGTCAGCGATGACCTCCAGAATCAGGAGGAACTGGATCGACACACTGAGGAGGAGAATCTCATTCAGGAATTCGGCTGAAAGCATCCGGTATGACAAGTGCAGAGAGTCAATAAGGGGTGAATTTCATGAAAAATGTCAAGAAAATTACTGGGAAAAAAAATTTGGCAAAAAATATATTTTGAGATTAGACAATAAAACATTTGTAGGATTTTAAGCATATTTTATAATACACAATGGTAGTATTTGCTATAATTGCCTTTAAATTAAACAAATTTTTAAAAAAATCATTGTGTCTTGACAGCATAGTTTTACATTAATGAGCATCTAAGTAAGGGATGCTTGTATCAGGGGTCTTGTATCACCCTGAAGGGGGTTATTCAGCTATAACTACCGGCTTGATGTACATTATCCCGCTTATTACACGGCTACTTGCCACATAAGTAAGGAAATATTGATTTGAGTTGAAATATTTGAACGCAAAGCTTCCGTGAACACAGCAGTTGCGAGCAAGCAGCAAGTTCAAACTAGACGGACATTTAAGGGAAACGGTGCAGTCAAACTACTTATTACACAACATTTCACCACATAAATAATTATGAATATAAGTCAAGTCAAGTCAAGTCAAGTTTATTTGTACACCGCTTTTCACGATACAAATCATTGCAAAGCAACCCGCATGAAGCACGACCTTATACAAAAAATATAAAAGATTTAAGACGAAAATGTTTTAAAATCTTACCAGTTTGTTAGTTATCTTATAATCCATTACAGTGTACAAAACAATCGTAGCAAAATGGCAGCAGCTGCGTTTGTATGAAACGAAAGAGCGAGTCCAGGATGACATAATTAAATAATTGTACACAATTTTGAATCGAGTTTTAATATTTTATTAGCTAAACAAACGCAAAGCTTCCAACCAGAAAAAAATGTTCCTGGCAGTATAGCGCCGACTTCAGTTACCCGGATGAACCTGTGTTATTAGCTTTACCGGTTGTTATCGAGGGATAACAAACTTCGGAATGTCGCGACAGACCAATCAGAATCAAGTATTCCACAGAGCCGTGTAATAATGAGAATTATCATTGATACTGATGAGAATTACAACCTTTAAATTAACTTTAAATTACGGTGATGAGAACTTGGGGTTGGAAATTGTGCTTAATTGTCATTAAAAGCAATAAATAAATAAAGAGTTAGGCTTCATTTTCTTAATCTCAATACAAAACATAATAATACAACAAAGCTTTAATCTTTGTGCTAAAAATTTTTTTTTACTTTTTATTTTAGGTTGAAACATGATATTCACCCATAGAGAATTTATATGGATATTCAAAATATATTAAATATCCATAATAAAGCATTGCTTTATTGATTATGGTCATCTGAAAGATTTTGCTATGGACTTTTAAAATGAAATGACTGTCACTGATGTTTAACAGGAGCAGGTTTGAGGTTTGACTCAGGGTCCTGTTTTCATGTAAGTAGGAAGTTGAAATCTCTGCCTGTTCTCAGACACCCAGACAACAGTGACATCAGCGACAGAGAGAACTCCAGTTCCCAGAATGCACCGTCCCGAACCTCTCCCGCACCCCATGACCCAGGGTCAGATGTCGGCGGTCCATATCAGGATGAACCCAACATGAGGTCCTCACCGTTAACCAACCGGCGGGAGGCCGGCGAGGGGCGCGACCGAGAGCTCGAAAGACGTCTGGAGGACCGGACCAAGTGGTTTCAGGAGGGAATTTCCGACAGGGAGGGTGAAGACCCCTGGGATAGGGTTGAGTTGAAGAAGGGGGTTGTGACTTCGGTGATTTTGACCCAGCCGCAGGTTCCTGATGCTCAGATGGGGCCAAACATCGAGAAGAAGTGGGCGGACTTTGAGCAGCTTCCAATCGGAGAAAATAGGTCACTGGCTGGTTTCCAGAATCCGCAAACGACAAATGAGGTGCTTCAGCGAGAGGTATGTTTGTGGATTTAGACGAGCATGACATCCTTATTGGCCCAGGACCATTTAATGTGCATCATCTGTGTGTGTGTGATCTGGATGCATTGCATTGCTCAGGTGGTGTCTCTGAGGCAGCAGATCGAGGCTCTTCGTCAGGTCCGCGTGGGGGCCAGTGTCTGCGGTCCTGACGCACCCTGCTCTCTGAAACTCGATCAGATGGAGAAGGAGCACCGAGAGAGACTGCAGAAGATACACGACGAGCACGAGCGAGAACGCAGAGAGATTGAGAAAGACAAACAGAGACTGCTGCAGGAGGAAGCCAAGAATGCAGTCCAAGGTCAGTGTGGGCCGCAGAACATCAGTGACACAAGGGTCAAATAAAAGTGATACAACATAAAGATGTTATATAATCATTTCTTTTTTAAAGAAAGAAATGCATTAATTTGATCAAAAGTGACAGTAAAGTCATTTATAATGTTACAAAAGATTTCTATTTCAAATAAATGCTGTTCTTTTGAACTTTCTATTCATCAAGAATCTTGAAAAAAAAAAATTATTATGTTTTCCACAAAAATATGAAGCAGCACAACTATTTTCAACTTTGATAATAACCAGAAATGTGTCTTGAGCAGCAAATCAGCATATTCTAATGATTTCTGAAGGATCATGTGACACTGAAGACTGGAGTAATGAAGCTGAAAATTCAACTTTGATCACAGGAATAAATTACATAATGATATTTCACAATATGCATGTTTTTATTGTATATCAAATAAATGCAGCCTTAGTGAACATAGGAGACTTCTTTAGAAAAACATTTTTTTAAATCCTAGAGCCCAAACTTGTATATAAAGGTAAATATAGTGATTAAACTGAGTTTGTGATTTTGATTAGAGTTAATGTTAACTAAAACTAAAACTGAAATCTTAAAAAAAGCACACACATTTTCATTACTTGAAATATAAATTTTAACTGACATAAAATGTAAAAAAAAAAAAAAATTATTGTTGTCAAGGCTACATTTCTCATTCTTCATTTAGTTTAACTTGAAGTATACCAATATAAACTAAAACTAATAAATAAAAATGAATCTGAACTATATAAACTAATAAAAAAATAATGCAAATGATAAAAACACACAAAAATACAAAATCTTTAACTAAAATTCAAGTGAAAACAAAAAATGTCGAAATCATATTTGATTCAAAATATTAACAAAAACTATAATAGTATATCAGTGATATTAAACTAACACTGATTTTGATATCTGATTAGATGAGAATTCAGTGACTTTTATCCATAAAGCTTCAAATCATACTTTCCGTCTTCAATCCCGCAGCGATGGAGGCTCTGAGGAAAGCTCATCAGGAGGAGACTGAGAAGCTGAGGGGTCACGGAGGAGGAGGGACGAAAGACCCCTCCATCAGACGACAGCTGTACGTCCACATTTATACAATTTATACAAAATACACTTTTCGCCTATTTAGCAAGATAACCAAGAGCAATATAGGATATCCAATATCTATGGATAATCAAGTAAACCTAATAACAATATAGGTTATTCTTTCGTTTACTTTAAAAATTAATAAAGATTTCGCAGCAAAAGACACATGAACCATGACCTGAAGGTGGACGTTTGTACAATTACACTAAAAGGCCCTTTGATTTACTAAAAAAGTATAAACTATCAAACAAACAACAGAAGGCATGTAGTAGATTGTAAGTTTTTCAGCCCAATTTTGGTCATGCTGATAAATTAGAGGCCTTTATGTATCAAATATGGTACAGTAGGCTTTATTAGGGTTAAGCTGTATATAGCTACACTGTAGAGTTTGGTTCTACTGATAATATTTTTAATTTATAGCAGATACTGAAATACTGCATGTTTGCTGTGTGTTAGATTCATCACAGACATCTTTGAATATTTTGGTATGAATTTTAGTTCTCTGAGAAGATATTGCATGCCAGAAAGCACCAACATCTTGTTCATACTCTCATGGGAATCCAGTGGCACTAATCAGTACTGTACATAAACTCTCATCTGTCCCGCTCAGCTGTGCTGTAATTCCTCTCTCACGGCTCAGAGAATCAGAACACAAGAGCTTCATTTACTCCGAAAAGTGGCAGGTGTTTGATTGACAGTTTGTAATTGACAAGAGTCCCACTGAGAGAATCAACTGATCGCTCATTAGTCAATCATTACATCAGTTAATCGATGCATGGCTTTGTGTGTCTATCAGGCGCGAGTCGCTCTCTCTGCAGCAGGAGTTGGACGGTCTGTCGGAGCGTTATTCCCAGCAGTGCGTGGAGCTCAACCGCATCCAGAGCAGCACTGAAGAGCAAAACGGAGCGATCCGACAGAAGGAGAGAGAGATGGAGCAACTCCGCCAAGAGAACCAGGTAGACAGGAAAGTGGGATGAGAGGATTGGATGACACATGATCACCATCTGATGCTGAAATTTAAACATCTAGAGTCCAAAAATGACAGATTTGACAGTTAAATAGTGTGTGATACACAGTTTTGTGTGGATCCACCCTGGTTCTGAGACTAACTGGACCAAAAAACATTGAAGTCCTCCTGAGATGTTCACAGATATGAGGAAATCATAATTATAATGTGATTTTGGTCTGGATAAAATGAACTCGGTTGCTCTTTTTACTTCCTGACAAACACAGGAAGCTTTTTTACTTCTAGTATGACATAAAGTGACATGCATTAGATGTGAAACTGATGTTTTATCAGTAATGTGCTGCCACAAAGAATTATAGGAAATGTCTGTTCAAAAGTTTGGGGTCTATAAGATGTTTAATGTTTTTGAAAAAAGGCCTCTTTTGCACACCAAGGCTGCATTTATTCAATCAAAAACAGAAATAAAATAGTAAAATTATTAAATATTATTACAATTTAAAATAACTGTTTTCTATGAGAATATATTATAGAATGTAATTTATTCCTGTGATCAAAGCTGAATTTTCAGCATCATTACTCCAGTCTTCAGGGTCACATGATCCTTCAGAAATCATTCTGATTTGCTGCGTAAGAAACATTTCTGATTATTACCAGTGTTGAAAACAGTTGTGCTGCTTGATGTTTTTGTGTAAATATACATATTTTCAGGATCCTTTGATTAATGAAAGTTCAAAAGAACAGCATTTATTTGAAATAGAAATCTTTTGTAACATTATAAGTGTCTTTACTGTCACTTTTGATCAATTCAGTGCATCCTTGCTCAATAAATTGTTACGTTCCTAACGTGAAAAGAAGCTTACAGAAAATTTCCCACTAGTAATTATGGTGACGTTCATGTGCAAACGCGATCATTCAGACATCACATTTCATCCTGCGACTCAATTCATCATGTCTGATATTGAAATCTAACTCACAGCACCTTTAAAATTACAACACTCGTATCAATTAGTCAGAGGGGAAACCGATCTGTAATATGATGAACAGACAGCATCCTGTTTCATTGTTCAGAGTGACTGTCTGGGTCGGTGTGAGATTTGTTCACTGATCCAGGACTGGATTACTAATACTAAATCAGGGTTATTGCCATTATTCAAAAGCTACAAAATGGGATTCAGATCAGCACAAAACCCAAATGATCGTCTCATTTTCGGTGTGTGAATGAGCTTGTCTTCATGTGTGGTTTTTAGTTTGGATGTGTCAAAATTACATTTCCTCTTCCTGTTCACACAGGAACTGCAGGCGCGTCTGACGGAGGAGATAAGTCTCATGCGATCCTTCATCACAGGCCAAAGGTCAGGAGTTGTTCCCCTCGGCAGCTATGAAAGGAGCACCTCTGAATTAGAGGTGAGGCGCTGACCTTTGACCTGTAGAAAAATACCTGCCACCATTTCATGATCAGATTTACCTTGTTTTATTTACCTTGATTTATCGAAATGTATATGGACATACAAAATGCATCTCACAAACATATTAGAATATTATAATGAATGTAAATTAAAGCTCAGTTAATCAGCATGTACTGTAAATCCCCCAAAATATATCCTGTGGTTCAAAAGTTTGGGATCATATCAGAATGATTTCTGAAGGATCATGTGACGCTGAAGACTGGAGTAATGATGCTGAAAATTCAGCTTTGATCACAGCAATAAACTACAGTTTAGAATATATTCAAATAGAAACCAGTAAATTGTAATAATATTTCACAATATTAATGTTTTACTGTGTTTTTGATCAAATAAATGCAGCCTTGTTGAGCAGAAGAGACTTCTTTCAAAAACATTAACAAAATCTTACCAACCCCAAACTTTTGAATGTTAGCGTACTGAAATAACAATCAATCTCCACCAAAGAGATGCAACGATTGGGGAAAAAAACTAAACGAAGATTGATCTCACCAAATCATTTGTTCCCTTGTCCTATGATCCTCCATTTTGTGTCCAAAAATAATCACAAAAAATGATAAATCCCAGATCGTAGGTGAAATTACATTACCACATTGTCCATTAAGGGGGACATAGATGGCTGTCATCTTTGACCCCGTTGCCTCTTTTCAGATAACCCTAAATAAAAGTCCTCTGCACTTCCTGGTCTGTCTTCAAACCACAAGAAAACTGATATTTTGTCTTCAAACTTCACGTTGTCCAGTACAAGAGGGGATTGTACACAGAATTTATGGTTATTGGTCACTGTGTGTGAAATAAGCTGGTATGGTTGAGGAGTGAGAATGAAGATGCCTTTGGGGTCCAGATGGTGTAATTACAACATTAACCAGCAGGGGCTAATTGGACAATGCTAAGCAGCTAAAACTTGACCCCTTATTATGTCAGATTTTGGCAAATGCAATTGGATTTCCACTATGTACATACAGAGAGAGTACATATAATGCATACTGTAAAAGTTGCATGGCTTGTTTTGGAGTTGTATTGGAGGCTGGTGGTGTCATCAGGGGCGGGGCATGTGATGTGAGGGATCGGTGTTTCTCAGACAAACTCTGCCATCTACTGATCATCATAGTGAACGCACTGTTAACCTTCTCCAGCAAATAGCAGTAAATACACAGATTGTTTTGCAGCCATAGATTGTTTACCTTCCTTAGTCCTGCTAAATTAACTGTAATCTGTTGTCTTTGTCCATTTGTGTGGGTGGTTTATACATTATTTTTGATGACACTTGTATGTTGAAAAATAAAATTGGCATTGTTTTTCTCTATTCATGAGGGAACAAGTATATTTTAGGTGCTGTGACTGCTCACCATTTCATTTTCACCATCCCAGTGATATGACAAATGAATTTTTATAAGAACAAATATTTCATGTATTTTTTTTATTAATATGTGTCAAAAATAGTTGTATCAGAATTGTAAAGTTGTAGATGGAGTATTGTTATGCTGACATGCCCATGTCTGTCTGTAGATGTTACTGAAGGTGAAGGAGAGCGAGGTGGGTTTTCTACACAAGGAGATCAGCTGTCTCAGAAAAGAGGTCCAAATTCTTACTAAGGTACACATTTTGCTTGTGAAAGTCATATAATCTAAATTAATACTATTCACTTTATTCATACATGCTCCTACTGTAGAGAAACAAAAAAAGTGTATGTAATAGATCAAACTTCAAATGTTTGGGGTCAGTAAGATTTTTACATTTTGAAGAAATTAATACTTTTATTCAGCAAGGACGCATTAGATTGATCAAAATTAACAATAAAGACATTTATAATGTTACAAAAGATTTCTATTTCAAATAAGTGTTGTTCTTTTGAACTTTATATTCATCAAAGAATCCTGAAAAAAATTAATCACAGTTTCCACAAAAACATTAAGGATCATGTGAGACTGAAGACTGGAGTAATGATGCTGAAAATTCAGCTTTGCATCACAGGAATAAATTACATCTTAAAATATATTACAATAGAAAACAGTTATTTGAAATTGTAATAATATTTCACAATTTTACAGTTTTTTTTGTTACTGTATTTTGACTTCTTTCAAAAAAATCTTGCCAACTCCAAACGTCTGAATGGTAGTGTACATAAACGGTGTTTATCACTATTCTTCAGTATATATATATATATATATATGTATATATAATGTTTGGCTGTGAATAAACACTAAATTGATTGTTTCTAATAATATGTATAGTAAGGTGTTCTCTGTGCCTGCAGGAGAATGAAGTATTGAGCGTGCGCTACAAGCAGGTGTATGTTGAGCTGACTGAATTACGGGGCCGCAGTGAGAGAGACATCAATGCACTCAAAGAACACCTCAAACTCACTGATGCTGCCCTGGAGGAGGGGCGTCTCCTAGGCAACAGCACCGACCAATGAGAACACAACAAGAGGTCAAATAAGATGGATGGGATGCATTGGTTTCTCCATCTCAATTTGGTCATGTAGATACAGGATATTGTGCTATGTGGAGCTCTTTTAAAAAATCTAATTGATTAGAGACTACAGTGGTGCTGAAAGTGAATAAATAAAAGTGACGTGACATGTGGCCAAGTATGGTGACCCATACTTGGAATTAGTGCTCTGCATTTAACCCATCCAAAGTGCACACACACCATGAACACACACCCGGAGCAGTGGGCAGCCATTTATGCTGCGGCGCCCGGGGAGCAGTTGGGGGTTCGGTGCCTTGCTCAAGGGCACCTCAGTCGTGGTATTGAAGGTGGGAGAGAGCGCTGTACATTCACTCCCCCCACCTACAATCCCTGCCGGTACGAGACTCGAACCCGCAACCTTTGGGTTACGAGTCCGACTCTCTAACCATTAGGCCACGACTCCCCCTTATTCCAGGCTTTTAAAACAAGGTATATTTTAAGTTAAATGCAATAAAAAAAAAAAACTTGCATCTGTTGGACGTGTGTGAAAGTGTATGAATCTCAATGTAATATGATTGCAAGATAAACCATGTACAATAACACACACACACGTTACATTTATAACAAAAACACAACCAGCAACTAACATTCAAGCAATTTATTAAATAGAAGAGAGGCAACTGCTGAGGGCAGCCTCAAGTCATATTGTCTTTGAAAACATAAAAACAGCATTAAACTTTGGCTTATGAACATGGTTAGTGTAATGCAGGAATGAAAACACAAAAATGTGTTGACAATCTTTATTATTGCATAAATATATCCTGTACTGTCTGCCTCAGGCACCTCAGAGAAGACCTTCAGACTGCTGGAGAGAAACATGCACTGAAAGAACAAGAACAGGAATATCTATAAACCACATACACACAGTAATGCACAATATATACTTTAATAAAATTGATATACTACGTGTACCTGAACTCAGTCATCATCATCATCATCATCTGGGACGAAGATCTCATGTTCCTCCAGAAGAGCAGCGAAATTTTTACTGATCAGATTTCCAACATACAGGAACGGAACCACCACTATAGCCATGCGGGTCAGACCGAACGGGACCTGCACAAATATGACAGAAGTAGATCAAATTATACAATAACTAATAATAATAATAATATGTGTCCTGATCGAAAACTGTACAAACGGCGTTTTGTATAAACAGCAAGCAAAAAAAAAAGGAAATTGGTTAAACTGACATAAATAATAAATAATTACTTAAATAATTGATTTTATAAACAACCGTACACGAAGTACTTCCTCGTTTTATAAAATATGTGCCGCTCCAACAATTTGATTGGCCATTAGTCATGTCAGTCAAGCCAATCTTAATTTTCATTGGCTAGAACGAAACCCATTCCTGGTTACTGCGTCCCTTCGGGAGTCTCCAGCGGCAATGTTTAGACATGTATAAACGCACCTTAACTGGTTTAGGAGGGACAGCTCCCGATGTGGTTGACACGGCGGTTCGGCGGAAAATCGCGTTTACTGAATTTGGGCCAGTGTTGCGGCTCAGTGTTGCTGTATTTCTAATGAAAAAAGCCCGAGAGAGACGACCTGCCAACGACGCCATGTTTCTTGCTTGTGCCGTGCGTTTAGAGACACGCCCAGTAGACCCGCCTCTTTTGGGTTTGTAATTAGGGGGCGGAGTAAATATGCGCTATTCCTCCCGTGCGGTTACTGAACTCAGCAAAAGTGATTTATACTTCTGTTACAGTAATTTTTATTTAATAGTTGTATTCAATTATTATTATATGGTATTGTATGTTTTACATTAGTAATAAGCTTAATAATGGCTTGGGACTCTACATGTATACATATGACATATTCAGAAAATGGCAACTTCCCATCAGAGATAAAGGAGAGGGAGGGATTTCACACAAACATTCATGTATCAGCTGTTTCAACTGAGACTCACCTTCAGATCACAGGTTTAAAGTCCTCTACCCCACGGTATACATGGCAAGTATGATAAGTCTTGACAATAGCATAACAATATCCTCCTGAGAACCAGGAAAAAAAAAAAAGTCTTGTGATTTTTTTTATGTCATTACATTGGTTGGAGCATAAGAAACAAATGGAGAAAAAATATTTTTGAAAAAAATATTTTATTCATATTGTATTCTATGTCCTCTGTAGAGGACGCCAGGACTAAGTTATTAAAATAAAAAATAGACATGAAAAGCCATGTATAGGCAAAAACAATATTTAATTTTTTTCATTCACCAATTTTAGGTTTCAGGCTATTTTTAGTCAAACTTTGTACAAAGATGATTCTCAGCTGTGTTATGAAAGATATAACAGAATGATTTGATATACTATTTTACTTCATGCAATATCTGCGTAAAATGTCTATACATTGGTATTCCCATTTTATTCAATGTATTTATAGATTGCATCTAGTTTGTATATCAATGTGAATTCTTGGGTCAAACCATAATGAAAAAAGAAGTGTAATAATGGGAGTAATAACTTGGCATCATTTTCATAAAAATATCTCATATTTCATAGGAATATTGATCTATAATTTCTTGTTGTGTCTCCCCAAAATGCCTGATTAACATGCCATTTGTCCTGTTGTCCTCTACAGAAGACATGTATGAAAATTATGCCCTGTTTCGTAACAAAAAGTCATATTCCAATTTGAAACGCCATAACATTTTTCTGACATGTTTATTTACGACAAGCAATTTGAAAATTAGCCAGATTTAAATGATAATTACAAAATAGTATCATATTTCCCTAAGAGTGCTAAATTTGATAATTCTGTCAATATCAGTCATATTTAAAGACCAAGGAGAGGGAGTGTTTATGATCAAACCTCCAAACATTTGATATTCCTAAAAAGCCTGTGGCATGTAGGGACTCAGAGAAATTCACGACAAAAGTCAGGAGAATGATATGACAGTGTGACACAAATGTATTAATTAATTAATCAACTTAATTAGTATTCATTCATTGCCGAAGTGTACTGCGTACTGCAGTACGTAGATTGAGACGACGTTGACATTATGTATGAGATTAGCAGACTAATCAGAAACCTCATAAAATATGAACTCATTTACAAACAAGTATTTTGAAACACTTAATATGCACTAATTGTAAAAAAAAAATAAGAAGGGTTGTTTGGGCGATTAATATGCATAGCAAAAGCAGAACGTAGTAGAACGCCCGCCCTCGTTTCTTTGATTGGCGGCGTTTGTGACCAATCAGAGCCTTCATCTGAGAACGCAGAGCCAATCGGTGAACTGGTCTGGCTGGACTGAGGGCAAATCCAAAGAGCTGGCAAAAATCAAAAATGGCACCCAGCACGAAATCTGAGAAAGATGACAACAAACAAAAACAACAGAAAAAACACAAAGATCACATCGTCAAACTCCTCACGCGTGGGCGGGTATGAAGAAAGGGGGAATTTGGGCTAAAAGTGGCGTGAAATGTTTTTTTCTCTCTAAGCGTAACATAGATAATAATGTGTGTGCTATTAGCATTTTTAGCTGTAGCCTCATTAAACGTCTTTATGTGTCTCTCAGCGTTTATTATTTATATATGTGAGCCTTTTAATTGACACGTCTATGGAAACATGTTTTATTTGCAGTATATGGTTCTTTGGGGCAACAAGAGCAACAAACAATTGTCATGATTATGAATCTGTTATGATTGATTTCTCCATCAATGGTCAAAAGTACATTATTGTTCATTATTCTGCACTGACATCTATCATTCACACTGAATTGACAGTCTCCATCCTGAAAACTATCTCATTCATGAAAATAGGTCAGTACTTAACATGAATGAATTGTAGAAATGCCTCAGTCAGGTGGTGTTCAGTGCAAACATGTTTTTAACTGGTTATCATAACCACCATGGGCTTTTATCATAGATATTTAACATCATAGATATTTAACAAAACACCCTTTAGTAGCTTTGTCTACAAAGTCAGTCTAATAGCCCGTTTAACTGTACTCATGGCTAATATTTCCAGTTGTATTACTCTATATCTGTATTAATATTTCTCTGTCTGTCTGTCAGCTGAATGGGCAGCTCTCTCAGCGGCTCTTCCGGAAACTCCCTCCACGCGTCTGCGTCCCGCTGAAGACCATCGTCAGCGAGGAGTTCCTCAGAGCAGGGTGAGGAGAAGATGCAGTCGGTCCCGTCCGTTATCTCGGAGCGGAGCAATGTGAATGCTGTATCTGATTGGTCTGTCTCTCTGCTGTCACAGGCACATCTTCCTGGGCTTCACCAAGTGCGGCCGGTATGTGTTGTCCTACACCAGTGACTGCGGAGAGGACGACGACTTCTCCTTCTACACGTATCACCTGTACTGGTGGGAGTTCAACCTGCACAGCCGCCTCAAACAGGTAAAACAGCCGCACATTGAACCTATCTGTTCTTTGAATTCTGATTTAACCCTCTCGTGGTCTTCCGTCATTTCAGACAGAAAAATGTTTTGTTTTGAATTTTTATTTTTATTTTTTTGTTTATTTACTTTTGTTACTTTTGTTGCGAAACGCCTGTGACCACAAAAAATGATTTAACATGTTTAGATAAGGTTTTATTAAAAATAGTCTTATTAAAACCTTGTGATTCTCACTGACCAAAATGATTACTATTGGAAATGAATGGTGCACAATCTACAAATCATGTATTTTTAACTTAAATACTGTATTAATTGAAAATATGAAATTTAATATTCTATAATATTTGTGTTATTTAGATATCTATTTGTTTACTTTTTATTTATTATAAAAAAAACTTGACCCTCTAACACGAGCACTCTCTATCTTATTTCTATTCTATCTACTTGTTTTCTTTTTAATTATTATAAAGAAAATAATAATATCCTGACCCTCTAACACTAGCTCTATCCTATTTCTTTTCTATCTACTTTTTTTTCTTTTTATTTATTATAAAAAAAACCTTGCTACGTGTACTGCGTTAGACTAACAGGAACTTGTCACCACACTTATATATTGTTGCTCTTTTGTTGGTTTGGTTGCCTCTGTTGTCCTCATTTGCAAGTCGCTTTGCATAAAAGTGTCTGCAAAATGATTTAATGTAAATGTAAAAATTATTTAGAGGTGAATATTGTTTAGTACCATGAAATCCCCTCAAAATGCAAAATATGAAAGAAACTGATATTATACTAATACAGTCTGTAGTTGTAGCTTCTTCACATTTAGAGCGATGTGGCAAATTTTGTCTCTCTTTGCAGGTGCATCATGTGCGTTTGTTTGCGGGTGAGGACATCTACAGCGATCTCTATCTGACTGTTTGCGAGTGGCACAATGATCATTCCAAACTGGTCATCTTCGGCTTTAAGTAAGAGTCTGTCTTCCGCTTCTGTGCTGTGTGTTATGAGCCAGTGGCTGGGTTATTATGCTTATCCTAAACATGTGCTCTCTGTGATCTGTCAGCACGCGCAGCTCCAGTTCAGCCCTGATGAACATGATGATGAGTGATGAGAACAACAGGGACATCTACATCACCATCACCTCAATGCCTCCCGCACAACCGTGCAAACAGTGCCGCCCCGCATCCTCCGTGTCCACCATACGCACAGGTGCAGTAGTATATTATTACTTTAGCCAATCTCCTTTCCAGTCCCTAGCAAACAAACACTTTTCTCCGTTCACATGTGTGCAGGTGGCGAGTGTCTGCAGCATGGTTACGTTCTGAACGCTCGCTATCAGGTGGTTTATCCGTTCCCGACGTTCCAGCCGGCGCTGCAGCTGAAGAAAGACCAGGTGATTCTGCTCAACACCAGCTACTCTCTGGTGGCCTGCGCCATCTCCCTCTGCTCAGGTACACAGCCAGTGTTTGTCCACGTCAGTAAGTGTTGGTTTGTTGATGGCCACACAAATGTGCGTTTGTGCTCTCTCTCAGGGTTTTTTTTTTTTAGGAAATAAAATAGTTTGGACAGTACATTTGAATTAAATGGACAAATGATTCACTGCATTATTTGAGTTGTAACTCAATAGTAATTTTCTTCAAACTGACCAATTAATTCAAAGAACTGGCTCATAAGTAGTCAAAAGAAAAAAAAAGCTAAATAAATATGGCATTAAAAAAAGCTTTTGCCTCGTTTTTAGTGTATTTTATTTTTTACATTTATTTATTTTTGTGTGTATTTTCAAATTAAAATGCTTCTGTTTGTCACAGTGTTTTAAATTCATTCATGTACACTGACGTTCAAAAGTTTGGGGTTAGTAAGATCTTTTTTTTTTTTTTTTTCATAATTTCATAATTCAAACGATTTAGCATATTAAATTGATCAAAAGTGACAGTAAAGACATTCATAATGTTGCAAAAGATTTCTATTTCAAATAAATGCTAAATGTTGAACTTCCTGCTTATCAGAGAATCCTGAAAAAATGCATTACAGTTTCCGCAAAAATATGAAGCAGCGCAATAATAATATTTCACAATATTACTGTTGCAGCCTTGGTGAGCAGAAGAGACTTCTTTCAAAAACATTAAAAAGATATTTTATATAAATTTCGAACATTTATTTTAACATTTAATTGCTGCTATCTACACAGTGTTTTCAATTAATTTATAGTAATTATGGTGTATATTTTTTTATTTAATTTAGTGTTAAATTATTATAGTGATTTAATTTTCATGTGTGAATCCCTCTC